TGGTAGGAGGGGGGGGTGGCTAGCAGTAGTAGTAGCAGCAGCGGTAGCGGTAGCGAAAGTGGGAGTGGTCGTAGTCGTCGTCGTCGTCGTAGCATGAGTAGTAAGCACCCCCCCTCCCAACTACACTTGGTCTTATCCATTTAAGCCTACATCATCCTACATCCATTTTACTCGGTATTTACAGCACTTTCGTCATGTAGGATCATCTTATGAGGCCTCAAAATCGACTTGTTGAGTTTAAAAACTTGAGCTTCGGACTTTGGACTTGCTTTTTTTTGGGGGAGGAGGTGGGGGATGATGACGACACTGCTACCCAAACGCTCCGAACAGTATCTCCAGAAGACCCGTTTCTCGGTATTTACAGTACTTTCGTGATGTCGGACCCTCTTATATAGTCACCAAACCTACTTCTGGACCTTGCGAATTCGACCTTGGGATTCAGCGAAAACTAGAACCTGGTTGGGGGGAAGCTTTTTTCGGGCATGATCACGACACTGTTTCCATACCCCAAACAGTATCTCCACACAGTACTGCAAAATCAAACCCTCCTACGCGGAGGTCTGGGCTTTAGGGGTGTTGGCGAGCTCCTCCCACGTACAGCTGGCATCTTTGTTTTTGTTTATAAAATGCTGCGCTTCAGGATTTTAGGAGTGCTAAATAAAGCCTTCTTGGCAGCACCTGCGTGTTGCACGGTATTTACAGCGTTTTCGTACTATCCGACCACCTGTGGTTTAGCAGTTTCTTTGCCGTCGAGTTTGCAACTCCAACTGCTGTCGCAGTTTTGGGGCCTGAGCCTCTGCAACTTCACCGCTATGACATTTAAGGCAAGTGAGCCTCTACAACTTCTGCAGCTGTCACAGGTAGGGAGCCTGAGCCCCTGCATGTTCTGCAGTTTTCGCAGTCAGGGAGCCCAGAAGCTGCCACTGCCCAGCCCGGATGGAGCAAGTGTAGTTGGTAGCGGGGAGGGGGGCGGGTGGCTGGTCAGTGGTAGTGTAGCAGCAGCAGTAATGGCAGTAGCTGGCAGGATGGGTAGTTCATCACAAGTCACAAGTGACTGGGACTGCCCGTCTGAACAGCCCGGTAAATGCCAAAGCAAGCTGATTGTTCCTCCAACCAAGTCTAATCAGGATCGGAGGATGCGACGAAAGAAAACACGTAATTCATAGCATCGCGCGTCGACATGAACTTAATCGGGAGCGTGGCCCTCCTATCAAGGATAGAGCAATCTTTCGGTCCGAAAGTCCTACTAAGGCATCCCTCGAATACCTTGATATCTCATCGCAAACCATTCAGAAAATTTTGCTGTGGTCTGTCCTCAAACTTTCGCTTTGCAACGTCCAGTGGCCACGTGCGCCCCAGTGCTTCCAAAACTTCATGCTGTACATCTTGCAGCTGTGACATGGCATGCGCCACCAAGGCAGCGGATTCACCGAAACTCGATGACCCATCCATGAACAGCAACGCCTCCGCGTACAAGAAGTTTGCCTCAGTATTGCTGGCCGCTGTTTGTGCTGCTACTACTTAAGCCCATGACACCCGACCCTGAAGATATGAACACCCGACGAATTCGGTGGAGGCGGACGAGATATTGGATCCAGCTCTTGCCGATATGGAAACCATCCCAGAAGCAAGTACACTATGATGCAGAATGATCTCAGCAATGTTCGGCGGAAGCAAGCGAAAGCCTAATCTCATTGACAGGCCCCGGACCCTACACCTGAGGGATCCTGAGGGTTCTCAAGACTCTCGTGAATAAAATGTCGCGCCGCAAATAACACCTCTTTCTAGCATGTTCGAGCGTCTGCAGAGGCCCTGCCACACCATGTCGTGTCCAGAGAATTTGCAAAGAACGAGTCTTCGGTCATACGTTGAGCTTTGTGGTTGTGTGTGTGTGTGTGTGAGAACCTGACAAGGAAGCATGCCGGTCGGGTGGACTAAGGCTCAGGAATGCCCTCTACTCCGGTCATCTCCGGTCGTGGTTTTCAGAGAAGGAAACACCCGACGACGCGCCCGCAGCACATATGTGCGCGGTGCATCAGCCATCCTCAACTGATGTGGGGTGTCGGCTGCCAGGGTCAGTGCATCACAGTTTTCAACAGTTTCTGCGGTCATGTCGAAGTATCGTGCCCTAGAGCTGTCCCGATGCGCGGCTCAAGCAATAACCACCAAAGCACTATCCAAGCCAAAGTTGCCAAGATCTGCATAGGCGGGCATTCGGACAGCGTGCGGCTCTGGAAATGGTCGGGCGAGGTCAGAAGCCACATGGCCTCTTCGAACGGAGGCCGTGCTCCTGAACATCTCAAACCGAGACATGCATGTGATGTGCTCAATACATCGGCTTTCGTACAATCGTCGCCTTCGACAAAGTGGCTGGTCACCAAGCGTTGAAAGTCAGAGCCCATCAACCGGAAATCTTCGTTGCAGCGACCAGCCTGACGACATCCGATCGGACTAACAAACAGTGAACGCTGGTATCGCAAGTCAAGCAGTGCACCTCCATCTCTTTCTGGGCTTCGGCTGGGCCCAAGCTGGTGTCGCAAATCACATATCCGACACGGTACGTGAAGTAGCACCTGAAACGAAAGCCCACTGCACCTGCGACATCCTTGCACCAAACAATAACAAACTGATTGCGAAAGGAGATTATGGTTCCAGCACGTGCCAATACAGCGGCAAGTTCAACACCCGACGAAATGACCAAAACGGCACGACGAAGCAGGACGCATTCTGCCTCCCGGTCCGTCGCCCGCCAGCGAGCGACGACACATACGTCTCAATAAATAAATACGCCAATGGTAGAGAGGGTGGGTGCTGAAAGTCGGGGCGTCGACGCGGAGCTGCAGATGCTGCGACGGATGCGTCGATCGCCGAACGTGTCCCTGCACACAAGTGTTTTTCACGACAAGTTCAACACCCGACGAAATGACCAAAACGGCACGACGAAGCAGGACCCTTCTTTTTGGATGGAAGGAAGCGCATAGCGCCGGGTCCGTCGCATTCGCCGGTTCAGGGCTGTACGGCGCCGGGGGACGCATTCTGCCTCCCGCCTGGCGCTCCCCTCACCCACTCAGCGCCGGCAGCCCCCTCAGACCGGCAAGTTGACCAGCTCGTCGGCCGCGCCGTTGACCGCGAAGTCGAGGTCCGCAGCGGCTTCCGCCAAGGTCTTTCAAGATCGACGACACCGGGGTCTGGACCCTCGTCCAACCCATACGGTGCGCCGTTGACAGGTCACCCCTCGAGATGGCGTCTGCGACGTTGGCTTTCGACGATACTCGCCTGAAGTCGGAAGCCAATCCGCCAACGCCGCCGTGGCCCAAACAAAAGGCAGCGAGGATGTCATTCACCGCCGGATCCTGGCCATACCCTTTGGTAAGGGCCCGGTGGCCAACATCGATGAATGCCAGCCACCGTTGAGGTGGGCGACCAGCGCCAGGATCTCAAGGACGTAGATGAAAGCCTTCCTCGCCGAGAACACGCGTGCCGAGTGGCCGGCCTTGTGCCGAAGCTCGCCGGGCTGGTAGAAGGCATCGGCGTAAATGATCTTCGAAGGCATGCCGTCGTCGATGAAGGGCTAGATGTTCGCCAGCAGCGACCGCAACGTCAGGGCTGCGCGGAGGCCCGTGGAGAGTCTGGTGTCCGATGTCGCCGCTGCGTCGTGGGCCCTGGCGTACGGCCGCCTTGCCGACCGGCCGGAAGGTTGACTGGGTGACGAAGTCGGAGCCGTCCCGCCAGTCTGTTGGCGACGTCGGGCGCCAACTCATCCTTCTCGAGCACCGTGTGGATGGTGGCCAAGATCTTCTGGATCCGCGCCGGAGTGGATTGCAGGACCACCCCGTCGCGCCGGATCGACACCAGGACGCCTTGGATGATATCAACTTCGCGGTCGTCCTTGGTCCACCGCCGTCCGTGCCAGTCAGCGTCCCAGTCCTGGTCGCTGACGCTTCCATGGCCGGGGGGTTCGGTGGCTGCTTGGGCGGGGCCCTGGCCGCCGTCAGGTTGTCGTCCATGATGCTCCGCGACACCTCGTCTAACCCGCATCTCCGACGCCAGCCGGTGCGACGCTGCGTCGACCGCGTCAAGCTGGTGGGAACGGAGCCGGGCTTTGTTCACCCACCAGTCGATGTAGGCGACGACCGCCTTCTTCTCGGAGCCGATCTGAATCAAGACCCAGGCCCACTTGATGGCCGTCATGCCGTCGACGACCGCCCAAGTACCCTTGGGCACGAGCTTGTCCTCGATGGCAAGGTTCCATCGACGATTTTGAGCTGGTGGTGCGCCGACTCGGCGCTCCGCCGCGTCGCCAGTGGAGGTTGACGGGTGTACAGAGCTTCTCCCGCCTGCGGCGGCGAGGTGCCCCAATGCCAACAGGCCAACAGGAACACCCGCGAGGGCTTCCCGCTCCTCCCGCCCAAAACGCCGGACTTGCGGAGGCGGATCGGCTGTACCGGAGAATGCTGAAAGTCGGGGCGTCGACGCAGAGCCGCAGATGCTGCGACGGATGCGTCGATCGCCGAACGTGTCCCTGCACACACAAGTGTGTTTCACCACAACCTCCTGCAAGTCATACGAGTACCTTCCAGGGCACGCATTTGCCAGCTCGTTCTTTGCTGGCAGAGTCCGGCCGTCGACAACTCGGAAGAAGGCGGCCAGGAAACTCAGGCGAGGTGTCATGGCATCAGCTACAGCTCACGGAAGCCACGCATAATTAGCACCCTCCTACAGTGGCACCTCTTGCCACTATTGTTCTGCATGCGCTGACCAGCCCCAGTCAGCACAGGATCCAAAGTGGAATTTTCATCAATCATTTCTGCAAATGCACGGACATGTTCTTTTGCGCCGCGTGCATTATATCTCTCAGATTGCTCGGTGTGCTGCATCCCACTTCACGGAGCAATCCTGCGGCCCGAAATGTGCACCCGTGCCTGGCATGATGGCAGTCGCAGGCAACAGATAGGCAGCTGGTGAGAATTAACGAAATCAAAGGAAGCAGGGCCGCCTCTCGCAAGCATCAACGGCTGCACTCACGGTTGCCGCCTGGCAGCAACACTCTCAGTGTCCTGTCTCTGGTCTTGTTCACTCGGGTCTGCCATGCCTTTTCCCCATACTACAAGTAACCCGATAGCCACCCTATTGGAGCTCTGGATGCATTCAGAGCTCGCCCTCCTGAGCAAATGGTAGCTTAGGAAAGTCTGCGATCTGGAATTCTTTCAAACAGTCTCCGTCGTCTCTTCCGGCGAAGATCGTGAGTGGGTGCTGACATGACTAGATGTTCAAGTGTCTCTGTACTTTCAGTGGCTCCTCTCTTCAAGCTGTTTTCAGGAAAGACCATGAGCTGAGAAGACCCGAGAATTTGTGATTTCACTCTGCATGCTTCCTACCCCTCTCATGAAACCCTTCCATCCAGCGGCAAAGCTTCCACTCCAATCTTGGTGTCGACATGCCTCTCCAAGGAATTTTTACCGCCTTGTGACGTGGAATGATGTGAGGATTGTGAAATCATGGACAAGAGAAGTGCAACGCCAAGTACCTCATCGGATGACCCTAAACCCACCACACGAAGGGCAGAAGGGCAATAAATTCTTCGTGAAAAGCTAGCCGCGACTGGACGTGTAGGGCCAGGTGGGGCCAAGCACAGAGGGCCCAGCACAAATTGGTGAGTGGACTGATATAGCATTTTGCAAGTGCAGCGGACGCTTTGCTCGCACCGTTGACGGTATGGATGCTTCAATCTGTAGACAGCGAGCAGGAATGTGTTCAGCTCATGCTGCATAGCCGACCTGGGACCTCCGAGAGAGACAGCAAACCTACAACTAGCAGCGCTCCTGAAACCGCTTCGAGGGACGACTCAACGTCTCTAAGTTTGAGACGTGGTGCTGCTGCGGTTGATTCTGCAACATGGATTCGTGCGTCGCTGTCCCTTATGCGCCGCGTTCAAACCAAATAGAGCAAAGGCAAGCACGACATGTGCACAATCGACACGCCCCGTGACTCTGGGCACACCCCACGCAAGGGGAACAACTGCTGACGTTTGGCGTGAGAGCACAACCAACATGGGATTGAACGCGGAAGTTACTGACGCGGGGCAAGGAGCACTGTTCACCTAGCCTGTCCAACGACTGGTCACACCACAGAAGCAGCCTGTTCTATAACCGCCAGTACACCCGAATGCTCCATGTCGCCTTGAGTGAAGAGAACTGATTTGCGAAACTGTCGCTCGGCTGCTACTGGTCGCTGGCCGGAGACGAGAGAAACTGCTTCATGTGTTGGAGCCAATGAGTCCACACATGGGTTTCAGGCTTCCAACCCTACCACACCCTTCCATGACCAATCCAGGCCAGAACATGCCTGGCCTCTGGGCCCAACAGCCGATCATCCCGGTTCTGCGCTTCTGCCAGAAGCATTGATGCACCGACCTCGAAGGAAAGGATATCTAGAGTCCGGATCGCTTTAAAATCGGCGAAATCTAAGCGGTGGGCCCAGCAAGCTTGCTGCTCCAGAGCCGCAGCTGCCACGTTTAGAGAGAGAGCATCTGGCAGCAACGAGCGCCTCGTGTCGACTTGACGTCAGAGGACCTCGCAAAATCTTTCAAAAGCCTCCGCAGGGCCTCCGCAGGATGCCCATGATCGCAAGAACTTCAAGCCACCCACGGGCACGGCAGGCGTCGAGCACCGAGTTGAAGCCTTGTTGCCGTCACCAAAATAGCAGCGGAGCTTCAAATCTGTGGATGCTCGGGCAAGAAGCTTACAAGTGTTGGCTGCAGTTGCTGTTGTGGCTGCAAGAGGGATCCAAAAAGATGCAGAGCTTGATTCCACCGAATTCCTGCCAGGAGGTTGAGAACGCCTGTGCTGACTTCATCTTCAAACCGGAAGCTCTCTTCTCAGCCTCGGGTGCAAGCGCTGATGCCCGAGTTGATGGTTACAGTCGTGTAGGCCCGACGCGGCGTTTTCTGCTCGATCACATCCAATGCCATTTCCCACTGCCCAGACTCTTCGCATACCTTTTTTAGCACGAATGCACGCTCTGCACCGCCAGCCAGATTCAGTCTAATCCCTGCAATGCCAAAGGTCCCTTATGCCAACCTGGGTGCACTGATCAACGAATTGCGCATGATTATGTTCGGGATCACTCCACCAGACCGCATGGCTGCCCACAGCAGCATGGCATCTAGCCACTTGCCGCTTGCACCACACGCTACTGTGGCGGCTGTGTAGCTCACGACATCTGGCTGAAGCAGCCTCCCACGGGCAAGGACTTGATCATGACTTATCAGATATGCAAGCGCTGGACTTCTTGCTTGGCCGCCTTCTCAGAAAAGTGAGCTTCACCAAAGCCCGCTCCCATTGACCATTCCACTTGCAGGCGCTGACCAAGGCATTCAGCGTTACAACGCCCGGAGAAATACCGGTCAACAACAACCTAAAGCTCTCACACGCACAAAGATCTGCAACATGCACACCATAGGCTACTTCAAGTGCTGGCAGGCACCTGGACAAGCTGTTCACAGCTTCGAGCCATCGTCCAGCTTTTTCAGTGCATGAAATTACAGCACTGAAAGCAATCATGTCCTCAATGCAGGCGATGGACGCAACTCAAGATGTCACAGAATCGCAGCACAACACTTTCCAAAGTAATAAGGTCTGCCAAGAGGCTAGCCGAGTGCTGGCCGCAAGTGACCGGATCAGGCTAACAGCTGCCAGCCACGCCGTGGACTTCTCGCAGGCACTCAGCACAGAACTGCTGATGATGAGGCCTGAAGCATTTGCTAAATCAAGGGGTCCTTGCACTAATCGGGACCCTGGTTGTGCGATGCTGTGCCTGTCTGATCTTGCTGTAAACCATGCTGCAGGATGGCAATGGCTGCTCTCCAGGTTGCCGCATTTGCGCAGGCTGCGGCGAGGGCACCATAGGTCACCTGTGCACAGCCGCAGACTTCTAGATGACTGAAGCAGCTGAGGCTGCCCAGGTCGCATTATCGTGCCTGGTTGGCCAGGAGATGCTGCTTCGTCATCGATGCCAACATTGCTAGTGCCGATAGCCACAAAGAACCCTTCCCGCAGGCAGAAATGGCCGCGCTGAAGATGATGGCGTCAAGCTGCAGCTCCTGAGCCCTGGACAGCATACAACTGCCACTTGAAGGGATCTAGCACAAGCTTCCAGTCTGCAAAGGGACCAGACGCTACAAGTTTCTGCAAGTTCGGAAGAGCCGTACGAACCCAACGTGCTAATATGTGACACGCTTCATTCTTGAACTGGCGCCACAGCAAAACTTCATCGCACGCCCGGCACCCTGCCTGCGTGTTGAGACGAAATGTCGAAGAGCGTGATGCCACCATGTAGCATGCTCACATGCGCTCACGATCGCACTATGTACGTGAACAGATGTTTCCAGCTCACCTGGGAAACAGGTGGGAGAGCCGTCTGAACCTACGCTGACCAAAAAGCCAAGCCACGGTTCAGCACGGCCTGCAGCAATCTAATCGCACTCTGCCAGCGTCTCGTGCGACGGCACTCGACTATCAGTCTGGTGCAGGTTCGAGCATCCGTAGCCTCACTGTGCCCCACTGCAGGTCCAGTCTTGTCACAAAACACAAACGTCCAACGTCGCCGTGCGACTGTGTCCGTACCAGCCAGAATGTCGCATTGACGCGTTGACCGGGCCTCTTCTGCTTGATCAGGCGAGGCAATCGAAACGTTGCTTTCACAGCTTCACAACATCGCATCATAGCATGCAGACCGTATCCTGATGAGACCGTATGGAAAGAAATCATGCAGCTCTAAATGCCAGGAATCAAGATTCTTCCGTCCAAAGCCATCCCATCCCACAAGCCTGATGCAATCGCTTGCGAATGGTTCTTGGCCCAGTGATTGCTTCGAAGTACTGGCCGTGAGGGCTTTCAATCGTCCTCGGGCTTGGGAAGCCACTGACGAAACGGAGCAGACATCAACATGTTCCGATTCCGTCCTACTGCGACAGCTCAGCTTCGGGCTCGCACTTGCAGGGCTACATTATGAATCGCAACTGCCATCACTGCCATCGGGTTTCGGAAACTTGTCGCTACTGGTACCATGAGCACAACTATCTATCACTCGCCATGCGCTTGCAGTCTTGCACAAAAGGGGGCTTGACAGCAGAATGTTTCGAAGGAAGCAGCATGGAATCTTTGATGCTAGCAGCGGGTGACAATTAAGGCCTTGGCCCTGCAATGCTCTGCACACGTGGTCACATGTCAACAGGCAGAACCTTCTTTTCCGCATATACCTGACATCTTCAGGTTCTTGATGTAGTCCGCGATAAGCTGGTGTGACACGCTAGCCACAGCGGTCATGTCTCCTCTGAATTGCAAAGCAGTTCTGCTTGCAGAAGCCGCATCCACGTCCAGGCTGTGACCCGCAGAATTCAATAAACAGCATGTCCGAGCATGAGCGATCTGGTTGATTGTATCTACGGTAAAGCTTACACCAAACGTGATACTGACCGGCATCAACTTGAACTACCTACTCTAGAACCTTTAGTCTAAGGGCAACGCTATGTGAGGTGGGAAAGCCTGGATCTAAAGTGGAAGTGTGGACGTTTGCAACATATGTCGGCACCATATGCTTAAATCATTTTGCGCGGAGTAGCTGCCCTTGCATTGCAGCCACATAGCATGGGGGCAGCCAGCCACTTCAATGTCTGGGCCGCCTCTTAGAGTGATGCAATCAATGTGCATAGCAGGTGTGCAGCAAGCCCGGAATCACCTCGGATTCAAAGCAAGCCTTCACAATCCGAGCAAAGCTATCCACACGCTTGTGCTGCGAGACGCCGGCTGACAGCACACTGAAGCGAAAGTCGCTAGGGCTGATACCGGGGCAAAGCGCACAGGCACGCGTGTCGCGTGGCAACACTTCCTCAATGGAAGGGCTCACCGCTGCTTCACAAATTCCAGCATAGACAATGCAAGCTCAGCTCCTAGACAGTACTGCTTCCGCCGTCTGCATCGTTCGAATGTGTGTCGCAAAGCTCTGCCGCTGCGCGGACTTTGCAAGTCATGTTGGCTTTCAATCAGCTAAGGTGCCAACACTTATGACAAGCCTGCCAAGATGGCATTGGCATCATCTGCACCAGGCTCTCTACTTTCGAGGGTCTGCGCGATGTTCGAGAGTCGGCTGGCAACGTGCAGGTATGCCTTGCGACAAATGGCAGGAACACCAGGGTCCCCCCTCAGGGATGCTCAAAGACCGATTGCTATAGCTCGAACTTATTCAATTTGGCCTCAAAGCACAGAAGCTAGCCGTCTACCCTGTGACCAACCAGCTTCAGATCCGCTTCCACAGTGCTGGCAGACAATGCCACTGAAGCGTGCAACGACAGCTCTAATTAAGATGAAGGCGCTGATGCAACGTTGACCGCGTTTCCCTTTATCACGACGGTCTTTTCGGCTTGGTTGCCATCGATTTCCCGAATCATGATCTTCGTATCCGTTGTAATCGCAATTTGCTTTGTGCCCATACCAGCCTTGCCGATAAGCGCGCTGACGTAACTTGCTGCACAATTGAATTGCAGGACCTGCGATCTGTCGCCGGCGCTAGCCAGACTGGGAGGCATGGCCGAAACAGCTGTCGATAGCATGTCTATGTTCTCCTGCGTTGCTGCAGCTCCAGTTCCGTGTGTAGGATAATCTCTTCCACCTTTGCCTGAAAAGCCGCCATCAAAGGAGTCTCTTTTGCCTTTGCCCTTTTGATAAGCATCGGTGGCGTACCCATATGCACAACCACCACCCTTGTAGCCGTTGTAGCCGCCCATAGCTCCACCCTTGTAACCAGCATCCATGCCCTTGGCTTTGCCTGCAGGGTTGCCTGAGAATTAAATCTAAATTAGATTAGGCCGATTAGGCCTGGTATGGAGGTGTTTTCGTATTCGTCGGACATGACACATCACCAACACCCTGCAACCACACCACTGTTTTCCGACCCTGTCCTGCATCACCCTTTCCTTTGACCGGCACATCTCCTCCCGCAGCCAGACAGCTGTAGGCCCAAGTGCCGAACCATGGTTGTGCGGAAAGCTCCGTTACCTGTCAACGCAAACGAGAATTCTCTGTATTGTTCACCATGCAACTCACGTGCCACCAGCAACAACCAACCACCACCGCAGTCACAGCCACAACAACCAGCAACCAGCATCAGCACCAGCACAACAACACCACCACCGCCACCAGCAGGAGCAGCAGCAGCAGCAGCCAGCAGCAGCCTGCAGCAGCAGCAGCAACAGCAGCAGCAGCAGCAGCAGCAACATCAACAACGACAACAACAACGACAACAACAACAACAACAACCACCACCACCACCACAACAACAACAACAACCACAACCACAACAACCACAACCACCACAACAACAACAACCACAACAACCACAACCACAACCACAACAACAACAACAACAGCAACAACAGCAACAGCAACAACAGCAAGAGCAAGAACCACGACAACAACAACGACAACGACAGCAGGGTATACACAAAAACTGCAGCCCTGTCAAGCCGCATGTCTGCCTTTTTTGCCTGTACATTAGGGTTGAGACAAGAACAGGAGCCCCGTGATGTTGTTTGACCCGAAACTCCGCTCTTCAACCCCGTGTCCCTGAATGCTCTCGACAATGCCATGCACTTTCAGTGTGCTTTCTGAAGTCGTGTCGCTACTTGTAGCATGTCCATAGATGGGTTAGCTCACGGAAGGCGGTCGCTTGTGCATCATCATCACGACTATCGTAACTATCGTGCCCGTCAATTCGCCATCGCCGGTGATTGCGAAACGACACTCGCTGACCAACTGGCGCTCGCCAACAGCTTAACAGAGTTTGAGTCGAATTGCACGCGCGTGCATTTCTTTGCTGGACTTCCTGTTGTTAGGCAAATCCTCTTGCGATGATCATATATACATATACATGTAAATAAATATACATATATATATATGGTACCCCCCCCCCCCCCAGAATCCACGCCCTCAGCCCTTGCCGCAGGTGCTCGGCGTGGTCTTGACGAGCGCCTCACTGCTTCCCTGGGCTTCCTTTGGGTTTAGGTTTGTTTATGTTGGGTTGTTGCTTGTTTATGTTTCTGTCCAGTCAGTCGGTATGGTACTGTTCGTCTCGTCGTGTATGCGTACATGTAACACACAACTGTACGTGAAATGTAACATGCCTGTGTATGCGAATGACAAGAAGCCAAAGGCCATCACAGGATCACATTGGTCGAGACAATCTCAAAAAGCCACAAAACAAAGCCCATACGCCACGAGATGAGCATATTTCTCGAGACAGTCCCAAAAAACCAAAGAAAACAAAACTCCTAGGCTACGAAGTGAACATATTTCTCGAGACAGTCCCAAAAAAAAAAAAACAAAGATTCCGGAACCTCTCCGACATAGGAAATGAGCATATTTGTGGAGACAGTCCCAAAAAAACAAAGCTCATAAGCTAGAAATGAGCATATTCTTCGAGACAGTCCATAAAAAACCAAAAATACCAAAACTCCTAGGCCACGAAATGAGCATATTTCTCGAGACAGTCCCAAAAAAACCACAAAAACCAAAGTTTCCAAGCCATTGGAGCTGTATCGGGCCGTGGCATTTGGAATAGCTCTGAATCTTTGGTTTTTTGATTTTTTTGGGACTGTCTCGAGAAATATGCTCGTTTCGTGGCCTAGGAGTTTTGGTATTTTTGGTTTTTTTGGGACTGTCTCGAAGAATATGCTCATTTCTAGCTTATGAGCTTTATTTTTTTGGGACTGTCTCGAGAAATATGCTCATTTCCAGTTTCGGAGAGGTTCCGGAATCTTTGGCTTTTTTGTTTCTTTGGGACTGTCTCGGCAAATATGCTCATTGCGTGGCCTAGGAGTTTTGTTTTCTTTGGTTTTTTTGGGACTGTCTCGAGAGATATGACAATTTTGATATGACGAGACACTTTCGTAGACACCAGCTTCGTTCATTCCCCTGCAGCGCTCTGCAAACATGTGTGCCCATTCATGTCTCAGCTCCTGTCAGATCAAGCTACAACAGGCTATTCCCTTCCTATCCTCCACATCATTGCTGTCATGGCTAGCGTGCCTCCTCGTAACGCGGTCTCTTTGGCACAGTCTGTGGACCCCGCTAACTTGGACGGTGCGGTTACACTCGAAGAGGCAATCGGGCAAACAGACGGTATGAAACTACTGCAGCTCGAGAGGCCTATCGTTGTCAACAAGCCCCTAGGACCCGTACGAGTCGGAGATCTTCCGGCCAAAGAGGACATCAGTGATACCTGGAGGAAAAAACCATTTTTTCGACATCATCATGGGTCACAAGGGTGGGGGATCGACTTCAAGCAGGTTGAAACTCTCATGCTCCAACAGAACTATGCAGACCTGCCAGAAGTCGTCCGCATGAAGGGCAACAACCAGACACCATACAACATGCAGCTCTTCATCCTTCCGCAAGGTTCCGATGTCTACCACATCGTCAAGTACATCAAGTTCACGGAGAATACCAACGTGAACCACCAAACCATTCTCAACATGTGCAGCGGCAGGGCATGTGAAGTTGATCTTCAGAAGCATTTTCGCGAGGGCTCACGCGGACTCCAATACATGCTCGAGGGTCTCGGTGGCTTCCAGGTACGCTACTTCAA